GACATCTCGTCCAGCTCAAGAAGAGCATCTACTGCAGGCATAGCCTCGAGGCGGACGTTGCCATCTTCCTCCCCCGTAGTACCCGTTGACAAGGGCGTATAACTGTTCGCCATCGTCTACGGTAGACACACCCTGGATCAGGGTTGACGCCCGGCGTCGGCGTCGCCTCGGTACAGAGGTTTTATGTCTCGGCGAGACCATGGTGAACACGCACTCCGCGTTGTCCGGTGTCATCCCCACTTCCCGCTCCTTTGGAGATCCGATGTTATCTACTACATCCGACGAAGAATTGCTAATCCCGTAGTCTTCGTCCAGTAAATAACGTGCCACTTCACGCGCATCTGAAGGGCCATGCCCAAGATGCCTCGGACTCTGTCCGACCACGCCGTCAATGGCATGCAGCGACTACTTCGCAAAGAGAGCAGTGCTCAGTGGTTTAAGTGCCACTTCACGTGCATCACAGGGCCTCGCCCTCGATGCCTCGGCCCGTGGTCGACCATGTCATGCATGACATGCAGCGACTGCTTTGATACTCGAGTAGCGCTCAGTGGTTTACGTGCCACTTCACGTGCATTACGAGAGCCTCGCCCTCGATGTCTCGGCCCTTGGCTGACCAATGTGCGCATGACATGCAGCGAATGCTTCGATCCTCGAGCAGCTTACGTGCCACTTCACGTGCATCACGGGGACCTCGCCCTCGATGCCTCGGCCTTTGGCCGACCATTTCATGCATGATTGCAGCGACTGCTTTGATACTCGAGTAGCGCTCAGTGGTTTACTTTACGTGCATCACGAGAGCCTCGCCCTCGATGCCTCGGCTCTTGGCTGACCATGTCACGCATGACATGCAGCGAATGCTTCGATACTCGAGCAGCTTACGTGCCACATCACGTGCATCACTGGCACCTCGCCCTCGATGCCTCGGCCCTTGGCCGACCATGTCAAGCATGACATGCAGCAACTGCTCCGAAACTCGATCAGCGCTTAGTGGGCTACGTGCCATTTCACCATCAGCTCGCGAGCCACGCTCGGGACTCCTGTCCAATACATAGT